GCTGGCAGCTCTGACGATCACCGTAGACTGCCACAAGTTGCAGCAAGGCGCGGACGCATGGAGGGAGGAGATCCTCCACCACCGCCGCAGCCTCAAGCAGAGCCGAGGCCAAGGCCAAGGCTCCCTGATTGGACTCGCTTCGACGTTCAGCTCAGCCTCCAAAACCTGCGCAGCTTCGACCCAGCTGTAGTGCAGCGAGAACTCCGCAAACTCCACCTGAGATGGTTTCATGCCAAGGAGCCAAAAATGCGGATGATTCTAACCAAGGTTGGTCTGGGTGAAACCCGTTTGAGTCTGATCAAAGGCATTTGTGACTCGTGTAGAGAATGTCGAGCCTGGGACAAACCAGGCAACACGGTGATGCCTTCTGTGTCACTGCCAGGACGTTTCAACGAGGAAGTCGAATGTGATCTTTTCTTTTACAAACAGGAACATATTGTTTTTCACATCATCGACCGTTGTATTCGCTGGGCAGCTGGCACAGAGATTCCTGATAAAGCCATGCATACTGTTCTCGATGCCTATCATACGACTTGGATGCAACATGGCCCTGCTAAAATCTTATACTCCGATGGGGAAGGAGCACTGAATAATGATACAGCAAAGGCCATCCTTAAGGCTAAGGGAACAGAGCTTCGTATTCGAGCGCGTGGCCAACACGCTACAACTATCGAAGCTAGGAACGGCATCCTGCGACACCTCTTACACGTGATGGGAGAAGAATTGAATAGATTAAATATTCCTCTCAATTTCACTCGTCTCTTACATGAAGCCTTGTTTGCCAGCAACGCATTTACCTTCTACAATGAAGTGTCTCCGTACAATGCGCTGTATGGCAGACAACCAGCTATGCTTCCCGATTTCCCTGTCTTGGATCATGATCAGTCCGCTGAATCATCAGATCACTCAAGGGAGGAAACAATCAGGAGGGTTAGTCTGGAGGCAATCACGCAGGCCACTGCGGTTGCCAAGACGAACAGGGCTCTCCGTACGAAGACTACTGCTACGGGTGAATTTCACTACAAAGAGGGAGATCTCGTGGACTATCATCGCCCGACCACCACGAAAGACGACTGGGGTGGATGGAGTGGTCCATACCCGGTCATCCGCAACGAACCTGACCGAGGCCAGGTCATCGTGAAGGTCGGCAGTCGCGAAGTGCGAGTACAGTATCCTGACACACGACACACACTGTACATCGAAGCACTTATGGTCCGCGAGATAGGATCGGACAATACGGCCCTTCGGACAGTATTGGCCTTTATTGCCGGTCTGCCAGCGGGGAAACCCGCCATGACTTTCGGATATCTACCAGCGAAACAGGGTCGGCTGCAGATGACTGCTGCGAGCCGACTTTCGCCTAAGGTGCACTTGGCTCTTCAGTACCTCATACGCAACTACTTTCGTATTGAAAACGTTGTTGCTGTACGACTTGCCAAGAGCCTGACGAAGTTGCCTGCTGCACCCTATGCAGACAGCTGTACACTAGTGCACTATGATAATGATGTGACCCCTGGTTTTCATTACTATGAAGCTGATGGCACTGCCTTGAACATCTATGACATCACAGGATCTACACACTCACGCATCATCCAGTGTCTTAAATCCAGGAAGCCGTCTGCTGGATTTGACCAAGACCTCACTAAGTTTGAGGAACTCGCTGATGGTCCACCACCAAGCGAATCACCTCCAGCAGCTGCTCCTGAGGAGCCTCCTACGGATAACGATGGTCGGCTCCCGACCATCATAGAGGAAACAGAAGAAGATCTGGATGCTTTTGTCTTGAAGTCGTGGTATGCTGAACTGATGGATGACAGAACACTCCTTGAAGCTGACACAGAGGAAGTCATGCATACAGTTCCCACATACATGACAGACACACAGTGTGTGTTAGTCTCTACGACCTGTGAAGATGTGCAAGGCCACTTGCCGGAGCGGGGTCACCCGCCAGGATACGACATGGACACTTCTTACTACGTTCCTTTATGCTCCACGGATCCGGATAGCAAATATGATCTGGACTCTGATGAGCACGGGAAGTACATCGAGCTCTGCTTCACTGCAGACATGTCCAAAGTCGCCCTGTCCGAGCAGCAACACCGATTGTTGGATGACAGCAGCGTCACAACTATGCGAGTATACGTTAGCGCTGCCTCCAAACGTGCCGTGGTCGTCAAGGAAGACGATCTACTCACGAAGGCCGACATCCAAGCAAATCCGGTCAAAGTTTCCAAAGCCCTCTACACAGAATTGAAGACTTGGCTTGACAACAAATGCTTCCAGATGACTGACTTAAGCAAGGCGTCTAACATCATGACGTCACGCTACGTATACAAATGGAAGTTTGTCAAGAACGAAAAGGGCGAAATGGAAAGGACGATCAGGTTACGCTTGGTACTCCGTGGCTTCATGGACCTTGAAGCCTTTGATGTCGAAACCTTCTCTGGCACGGCAAGGAGGTCAAGCCAGAGACTGCTCGCAAGTTCTGCTGCATGCAACAAAGCTTGGATCATCGCTTCCCTGGACATCAACATGGCTTTCTTGAAGGGACTGACCTATGGCGAGCTCGCCGCGGCAACGGGCGAGAAAGAGCGTGTGGTGTGCTTCACACTACCACCTGGGTCAGCAGCTGTCCTTCGCACACTGCCAGGCTTTGAGTCATATGACGAATCAAAGCATTGTCTCCGGTGTCTGAAACCGGGGACGGGCACGAAGGATGCTCCCAGGGCATTCTCGCTGAAGCTCAGGTCCATCACTAGGAGCTTTGGGCTACAGCCTACTTCATACGACGAAGAGTTCGAGATGAGCCCAAACCTCTTGACAGCCAAGCACGTTGATGACATCAATATGACTGGGAAGGAAGAGGCTATTGACAAGTATGTCAAGTGTGTTGAAGATACGTTTGGGAAGTGCAAACTGAACAAGCACACATACACAAACTGTGCCGTTCGGTACAACAAGACCGATGATGGGAGCGTCACTCTTGATCAGGACGAATACATCAAACAGCTTCGTCCTATCACACATCCAGAACTCACAGGAGCTGATCCTGAGAGCAAAGCGACAAAGACGATTTCTGATATGTTCGTCAGTCTTCGTGGCGCTCTAGCCTATGCGTTGATCACGCAGGTATGGCTGATGGTCTATGTTGTCTCACTACAACGTATCCAGGAACCGACAAACATCCAGGTACGACGACTAAACGCGGTTACCAGAAACTACAGGCAGGTCCGAAGAAGATCGTGTATCAAGCTATGACCCCAACAGGAGAAGTCGACCTGCATAGCGATTCTGGCTATCGTCGTCTCAACGGAGATGAAGACGACGAAGTCAAAGGCTATGGTATCCGCGGGGCTAACCTGCTGAGGCGTGGCCACACGCAAGCGGGGAAACCCGTCGTGCACCTGGTGGACGCATACTGCAAGTCTCATCGACTGCAGGTGCGTTCGAGCTACTCTGCGGAAACACTGGCAGCAGCCCACAACTTGGAAGACTGCTACCCGACCATTGTAACGCTCCACGAGCTACACTCGGGACCATTGACCCCCACACAGTTAAAGAACATATTGGAAATGGGTGGTCTATGTATCAAAGTCACTCTGACTATTGATGCCGAGTCTGTCTTCAAGTCTTTGTCTAGCAAAGATCTGAAGAAGCCCACAGAATGTACTCTGCTTGGGCACATCAGCTGGATCCGCCAGATGATGGAACGCGGAATCGTGGAAAGCGTCCAATGGTGTGACACGCGGGATATGACTGCCGATGGTCATACCAAAGGTAGTATTGACCGCGCGTTGCTCCTACAAGTAATGGCCGGCCAGCAATCCTTCAAGCACGAGCTGAAGAAACATACGCCGTATAGGGCGGGCAGGTCGTCTCAGGACGGCCCTGCCTCCCGAGCCAGCGGGGAAACCCGCGGGCAGGTGCGCTTTAGTAGCGAGGAAACTCGCCGGTAGCGAGGCTACTCGCGCGCCCTTTCCTTGTAGGCAGCCGCTGCTGCTTAGCACTGTTTTTTCCGCATAATGTAGAAGTGCGGTACCTGCTCGTCTCCTCCCCCTCCGACTTTAAACGGAGAAGGTTAAAGGCGAGGTATAAATCGAGCATGTACCGCTGCCGTGCCTGGCTCAAGCCGGGCCCGGCCAAATATATGACTGTGCCTCACTGAGGCGCACGACTTGCATCAGAGATCGGAAAATACCTTTTCCATTGACGATGCCCATCCTATCCTTTACTCCAGATCCCATGCTTCGTCTTGCACTCTTGCTCATGCGATATGAGCCAAAGCCTGGGATATGGCAACGCTTAAAGCGTAACACATACCTAAGCTTACCAGCTTGTTTTCGACTAGCGCTTCATCAGCGGCATCACCTGGCATTGCATTGGTTTGATTGGCATTGCATTGCTTGGCGTTGATTGGAATTGCTTACAGTGCTTGGCGTTGCTTGTCATTGCTTGGAATGGCGTGGCATTGGTTTGCACTTCATGGCATTGCTTGGCATGGCTTCACAGTGACTGGCATTGCTTGGCATCGCGCTGCTCTGCATTGCGTAACATCCCTTTTGCGTTGCTTGGCGCTGCTACCCGGGAAGCCCGAGGAAGACCGGTCCGTCACAGCAAGTGAGAAGGGCAAACCAGGGAGCCCGAGGAGTGCCGGCCAGTTCAAGCCTGCAGCCCTCCGCGACAAAAAAAAAATCAAGCGCAAGGTTTATGTTCTGCGGCGTGGCGGCGCCCCCGGACCCCCAATGCCAACGCCCGCGTCGAAGCTGGCGACATCTTCCCTCGGACCACGCGGGCCGCGCTGCACGCGTCGCCGAGCATATTTTGGGGGGGTAGGGGAGAGGCTGAAACAACTTGCGTCTGATCTCGAGGAGGGTTGTAGCACCCACGGGTTGTCCAAAAGCCGTAAGTAAGAACTTCTTAGGCAGGCTTGATTGGAGAAAAAGAATAGGTTTGAACCTTCCTTTTTCTCCCCCCCCTTCTCCCCAGAGAGCGGCTTGCAGGTAGAGGCCCTGACCCGCGACGTGATCTATAGGTACCGGGGCGACCCGGCCCGGGCCGTGAGCTCAGCCAGTGCAGCGACGACGGTGTCGTCGTTTTGAGGAGGAGGACGCAGACACGATGACGAAGAGATCTGATTCATCCTCCTCCTCCGCTTTCCTCTTCCTCGTCCTCATCTTTCTCACTCTCCCCCGTAAGATCCTCCCTCTCATCATCCCTCTTTCTTCTCTTCTCATCCTTCGTCTCTTTCTCCTCCTCATCTGCCTCCTCCTCGTCCTATTCCGCCAAGGAGGAGAGGAGCAAGGGCAAAGTGTCAAGAAGCAGTCGAACAAACCCTGGACGGGCCAACAAACAGCCGGAATGACATCCAAAGGTGTTTTGATGTTTTCTGCCTGAGGATGGTCTGTTCGAATACGCATGCGTTGCCCCAGTGCCTTTCCTCCCTCCTCATCCTTGTCCTTGTTCTCTTTCCACTCCTGGCCTGTGGACGTGAGGAGGAGGAGGAGAAGGACGGAAGAGAAGGACAAGGGAAGGGGACAAAAAACGAAGGCGAGGAGGAGAAGTAAAGAGGAGGAGGGAGAAGGAGGAGAGGACTGTTGTATATGTTGTGTATGGTGTATGTGCTGTATGTGTTGTACAGGGCGCGTGTGTTGTATATGATGCATATGTCGTGTAGTTAGTGAAAGTTGTATATGTTGCATATGGTGTATGTGTCGTATATGTTGTATGTGTTGTATGGCTTTCATACGGTGTATATGTTTCTATGGTGTGTTGATTATGCATATGTGAATGTGTTGTATGTGATGTATATACGATGTGTCCTATGTATTGGACCTGATGTATATGTTGTTTATGTTGTATCCCATATATATATATGTGTGTTGCATGTTTTGCAAATGTCGTATGATTCCAGAGAAACAAGTTTATCATAACAGTTTAAATATTATAGGGCTATGGGGCTAGAAAGCTGTAGGGCCAGAGGGCTATAGGTTCATAGGGCTATAGGGCTGTAGGGTGATAGGCATGTAGAGCTATAGGGCTACAAGGCTTTAACTTTATAGGGCTCTAAGGGCTATAGGGCTGTAGGCTTATAGGGCTAGAGGGCTAGAGGGCTAGAAGGCTCAGGGCTATAGGGCCTTAGGGTTATAGGGCTATAGGGCTACAGGGCTATAGGGCTTTAAGGGTATAAGGCTAGAGGGCTATAGGGCTATATGGCTACAGGTTTATCATGCTAGAGGGCTATAGGGCAACAGGGCTATAAGGTTATAGGGTTATAAGGCTATAGGGTTACCGGGTACCCGGGCGCACCCGGGCACCCAGGCACCCGGGCGTGCCGCCGAAATCGGTGCCGTATTTCACCTAACCATACGAAACCGCTAAGACCCTTACAGAGGCAAGCTCGGATGGGGGAATATGTTGTACAGGTTGTGTTTGTTGTATCGGGTGCATCGGGCGCATCTGTTGCATATGGTGTAGTTGTTGCATGTGTTGCGTATGCTATCTATGTTGTATATGTTGAATATGGTGTATGTGTTGTATATGTTGTATGTGTCACGTCGGCTGAATATGATGGGTATGTTATGTATGCTGTATGCGTTCTATGTGTTGTCAATGTTGCATGTGTTGACTATGATGCATAGGTGTTGTATGTGTTGTATAGAATGTATGTGTTGCATATGTTGGACATGTTGGATGCCATGTATATGGCGTATACGGTGTATGTGCTTCATATGTTGTGTGGTGTCCATACTGTATATGTTGGTTGTGTTGTACATGGCGTATATGATGTGTATGATGTATAAGGCGTATATGTTGTATATGGTGTATATGTTGTATGTGATGTGGATGATGTATGAGCTTTATATGTTGTATATGCGGTATATGCTGGATATGATGGATATGCTGGATGTGTTGTCTATGTTGTGTATGTTGTATCTGATGTGTACATGAGTTGTGTTGCATATGCTGTATGTGTAGTATATGTCGAGTCTGATGTACATGGTGCGTGTTGTTGTGTATGGTATACATGTTGTATATGTTGCATATGTTGTGTATGCTGTGTATGCTGTAAAGGTTGTATATGTTGTATATGCTGTATTTGGCTTGGCAGCAGAGCCTGATTTGCACACGCAGTCATCCGTCGGCGCGAGGTTCAAACCCGCTAAGAGAACAAGGGTACAGACAGCGTGACACAGAGTGCAGCGGAAAATAAATGCTGCGCGCGAGCGTTGCTACATTCTAGTTCTGTTGTTTTCAACCTCACACAACAGCCATGTCCAGCGATGTAGCTGGTTCCCGCATCCCGGCTGGTCAACTCCACACAGGGAGGATTGCTTCCAGGCGCGACAGGCCACCGTTTTTGGCCCCTGCGTTTGGGTTGATTGCTGGCTCCGGGTCCCAGTCTGAAAGAGGAGGAGGACATGAGGAACGGTGAGACCGTCCCCGTTCCCCCGCGTTACCCCGGCGGCAGGCGACGCCGAGTGCCAAGCTCTGCAGAGCGAGCTTTCAGCGCTGAAGGCTTTTGTGGACGCGGAGCTCGAGGGTTTCGTGCATCAGGATGTCTTGAAGAAGATCCGCAAAGCAGCTAATGACTCGAGGGCACGCATCGACAGCTCGCAAAAAGTCAACGAGCGCACCGAGTCGACGAAGAACGACACTGTGAAGTTGGAGGGTGGCCACTTGCCCCCTGGTTGCCGCCCGTTTGCGTTGTTGGACGAGGCGCGCGTGGACCAGTTGAAGATGAGGCTGCACCTGGCTGGCACGACCGTCCGGGAAGCCAAAAGAGCTCCCTATTGTGAACACCTTTTGATCTATAGAAGAAATTTGACTTGGTGTTCATGGCCCGGCAGCGTGATGAACTCTGCCGCCAGACGCGGAAGGATAATTTCGTGCACCAGTGCACTGCGTCCGTCACTTCTCACACCCGTGAGACCAATGTAGCTCTGGACCTTGATCTGGACGGGCTGGGTGATGCGCAGGCCGGCCTCGTCGACACTGGAGTGTCCGCGGTTCAAATGACGGCTAAAGCGAACGTTTTGTATGCCAAGACGGTCGCCCACGCAGCGGCCGCCATGGCTCGCTTGAAGGAGGAGCGAGCCAAAGAGGCAGGTCACCAGGACAAGCTTGTCTAAGAGGTGATTACCACGAAGCCCGTCGATCTCTTCACGCCCACTAGGCTGGCCCAGCGGGTGGCCGGCAAGGGCCCTGGCTCGCACCAAGCATTTTCTCAACATGCTGCTTCGTTGTTTTCGGCTGCGGTGAGCGGCGCTGGCGCCGTCCGGAGGGGAGATGCCGCGGCCGCCGCTTCGTCGTCAAAAAACGGCGCGCCCCCGCCCGGCAAGGGCGGGGGCAAGGGCGCAGGCAAAGGCAAGCAGCCAGGAGGCAAGGCCAAGGGCAAGGGGAAAGGCAAAGCCAAGGACACGGAGAAGGGCAAACGAACCGGCGGCAAGGGCAAGACCAAGTCTGCGCCGAAAGACTGCGGCAAGGGTTCCGGCAAAGGGGCCAAAGGCAAGACCGCTGGCAAGGGCAAAAAGGGCGCAGCCCCTTGGCGCCGCGGCAAATCGGCGCGAGGAGGGCGCAGAAGTTGGTGAGGGTCTTGAACTGGGAGGCCCGCCGCCGTTTGAGGAGATCTGAGGCGGAAGAGTGAGATGAGCCATGAGAGCGCGCTTGCTTCCATGTTTCTCCGCCTCACTCGCGATCTTTCGCCTCCTGTTTTTGACTCCCTCCTCTCATGCTCTGCCATGCCCGCTTACTTGTACCATCCAGAGTCGAGCTCTGTGTCGGTACCATCTGAAGGCACCCCTGCATGGCCAGTAAGGTATCGCTCCACCATACTTCACCGTATGCGTTGTTCAAGCGTCCTGTCACACGAGAGTGCAATGTGAGCTCCCTTTGTTTGCGCAGTGCATGTTGGACGGCGTGAAACGCGATGTGTGGCAGGCGCGTTTGGTCCACAGCAGGCGGTCTGCACCTCTTTTGCCAACTGCGGTTAAGTTCGCCATCGACTTGCTTTGCAAAAGAGACGTCGGCGTTCCACCAATGGACAAGAACGCGATCGTGTGCCGATTTCGGAAACCTGATTCGCATGATTGCCTCAGTCGGTTATTGTCTGGGCCGTCGTGCCGCGAGCTTCCTGCCACAGCTTGCTCGCGCCATCACATATGATTTCGCTGACGGCGCGAAGGAAACATGCAGCATCTTAGAAGATGACGCCTTGGCCCAGGCCTTGCTTTCTGATGTGAGCTTGGACCGGCGCAGCGGCATCGTCTCCAGGGTCGGGGCCACCGCGAAAACGCGCAAGCCCGTCGGAAAAGTGGATTTGCGTTTGTTGCATGGCAGTGGCCACGCCCCCACGGCGCTGGCCATGCGTTGGGTCTCCGAGAAATTGTTGCCAGATTTGCGGCCCATCCCCTTCACGGCGCGCGGTTCCCGACAGATTTTGAACATTGCGCCATCCGCGCGCGCCCCCGGCAGGGCGCCACCTAGCGAAAATAGTTATCAGCAATTACTGCACGAGCGGTACGCACGGTGATCTCGCATCTCGCTCGTCTGCATTTGGATGGCAACGCGAGGGCTGCATTCAAAGCGCTCTTGCCCACCGCCCTGGATTGCCAATTCGCGAGTTGCGATACATGCCCAGATGTCGTTTCGAAGGTCCTTGTTGGCACCGGAATGGGACTCCAGCGCAGCGGAGAGGTTTCGGATGCCGCTTATTACAACCAAGTTGAACGCGACGCTGTGACATGCCCCAAATTTCACGCTGCCCACTGGATAATTGCGCACGCCCGGCACAGGGATGACATTCTACAAATTCACTCCTGGCCCCGAGCAAGCCTGGACGAGTGCGCCCAGATTGCACGGGGCCGCCCCACTGCGTTCAAGCTCGACGTGGAGAGCATAGCTTACGACGAGGCCCAAACTCTGGAGGTCGCATCCTACCGCGGCCCAGCGCGGCAGGACGCAGATCCTGCGCCGCGGGGCCCACGTCGAGAGGTCTTCGCAATGGCCCCCACTAAACGACAGGGGCATGTGAAACCATGGCGGTATCCATCTTTTG